AAATCGTGGCGCCGCTGCATGAGGTTTTAATTGTCAATTGTGATATAACTTTGAACTTTTGTTTTCCTTTCGTCAAAATTTAACTGTATGTATTCATTTCATTGACACTATATTTCAATTAAAGTATAGCCAATTTAAATGTGAAATTGTGCGTACATTATTAGCTGTATAGCTATAGCGCTGTCTGTATCAGTCGGTCGAGGATAAATGGGAAAATATACGCATCAGGACTGGAAATGCACGAACATAGCATTTACAATTAAACATTTACAATTAAATTTAATCAAACTAAATTTAAAGGAATCCTTTCGGTCCTGCGTACTATATTGTTGAATAGTTTATATCACGAGGGTAGTTAGCTAACATCAGAAGTTTTATAAAGGGTAGTTTATCGCTTTATATTTAGTTGGTTGCAAGAACTGGCCTATTTCAAATAACACATGTATTTTCATGCACTACGATTTAAATACCGGCTCAAATGCAGTTAATAGTTTTTTACAACTGCGTGGCCATTATGTACGCGGTTATATATATACGCTTTTTGAGGTAACAAAAAGCTAAAAAGCCTTATAACCTATTAACTATGCTCTACCGTTATAGTATATTGTGCATATATATATCAAGTATCATGTAGCTATATATTTTTCATGTAATTATGTCGTAGGCCTAATCAAAGCAACAATCGACAGATAATTTCGCAGATAGGTTGCCTTGCGTACTTCAATGCAATTGTTTCTTTGGTACTCGGCTCAAACTGTTGACTTTGAAACATGCACATGTACAGTTTCAGAAGATTCTCAGACGGATTAGCAGTGATTTATCATTCAGTTCCTCGCCCATGCAAGCCGGTCAGTCCAGACGGATAATCCTTCGCGGTAATGTGAATCAGGCTATTTATAGAGGCCATAACAGATCGATTTCATCACAGCACTGCGAAACTATATTCAGGTATATAGATAACCGGGTGATTTTGAGAACACGCACATTTTAAGAACATGGACATGCAAAAGCAGTCGCTGATGCATTGTAGTTTATAAATGGAGGGAAGCGAAAGATCGAGTCGAGTAAAATGAAAACACTTTAAGATTAAATAATATCAGTCGTCACCTGAAATTATACGCTCCTTATAGCAGGAAGGTTAATCGATCATTCTAGAGATATAATGTGAAATATAATAATAACAGGTTATACACGTGTACGGACAGAAACTGGCACGAAAAAGTCAATGCATACACGCGTAAAAATCATCCGTGTTGATGCAAGTTGTTGTGGAAGTGAACAATGTTGTGCTGCCCCTGTGAACGGTATTGTTAACAATGTTGTTGAAGCTTGTTGAATCATCAATGTTGTTGCAACTTGTTCCAACAACATTGCATCGTGGTTGCAACAATATTGATGATTCAACAAGCTTTAACAACATTGTTAACAATACTGTTCCCAGGGTGCAGCACAGCATTGTTCACCCCTGATGCGACAACCTGATCAACTTTTGGCCGTGTATTAATGCGTTGTTAAATTATATGAAATAATTACTATTTTATTTATATTTATAATTATATATAGGATGCATCAGTCATGAATTGAAAAATCCGCTCAAAGAATAATGAAACTTCTTTCAAACCATAATTTATTTTCGTCGATTTTTCATCCTACACGCGTAAAAACGCTCAGGTTGATGCAAGTTGATATAAACAGGATGGAGCAATGTTGTGCTGCCCACATTGTTCAGAGTTGTTATCAATATTGAACAATATTGTTACACCCGATTCAGTTTCAACAATATTGTTCAATGTTGATAACAACTCTGAACAATGTGGGCAGCACAACATTGCTCCATCCTGTTTGTATCAACTTGCATCAACCTGAGCGTTTTTAGGCGTGTAGCACAATTGGCAAACGCATTGGTTAAATCATGCAGTCAATGCTAAAATGTTGTCTCAATAATTTAAGTCGTTCTTGCATTATGAAAATAAGTGCATGATCTAAATCTGTCTGCATGGTTATAGGTATATAATTCGGTGACGCTGAAGATGTACATGAAGGCTTGTCCGTGAAGGACATTTACGCGAGTCTATGATTAATTTAATTTGACTCGTGATAAATTTTAGGTATATAAAACCGGCCTGAGGCTGGGATTAATAACTTCACCTAGCAGTTTTATATGCTTAAAAGTTTCATAACCGGCATGCTTCTATCGCGAAACGTGAATTTACATGAAAGAAGGAACAATATAATGCATTAATGACAAAAGTTAATTAAAATTGTCTGCTCCTTCTTTTGAAAATAAGGACAAAGACGTGTATCACATTGTACGATTTAAAAACACATGTAGGTCCTATTTTTACCAAATTTTCGCCTTCGTTGGAAAATTTTATGCACTTAATATTTATCACGAGCGCAAATGATAAAATTATTTGAACTATCAATCAATAGTGAAAACAAACTCAACTGTCAATCTTAATAACATAATTTATACAGAATGATTATTTCATTAAATCCGCATAATAGTTTTTTTCAAATTACAATCAATGCTGTATTGTGAATATGTATCAAAGTCTAAACGCTTCGCGACAAAGGATAATCGTGATTTTGAACTCACTTCTGCGAGCAAAGCAAATTAGCGGCAAAGTCGACCGATCTTTCCATCGCTCAGAGCACTTTTCCCATTGTTTGAAGCACTTTTCCATCTTCCAGACCACTTTTATCACTTAGGGCACGTTTCTTATTTTGTAGAGCACTGTGAAGTGCACCTTTTCCATATTAAAATCTGTGGATTGTATCTCGTATGTGAGGCACCCAACAGACGGCCTTTTAAAAATAATATATCTTTGTTTTAACACGTCGGATGCGTGGACACGTTTCTTATGCGTGAGCATGCCAAATGCCAGCTGTCTTTGGCGGAGAGCATGCGCACGAAGAATTACCTTCGAAATATGAAAATGTTTCGTAATTAGTTTGGGCAAACTCAAAACCCTATAAGCAATGTTATTCTTTTCTGTACTTTATTTATACTTTTCGACGCCCACTTGGAAGCGGTTCATTTCCCTCAGCTGTTATAGAGGCTTGCCTGGACTATATATAGCTAGCTACAAGCATAGACCATGGCCGTAGTTATTACAGCAATGGCACCAAACGTGATCGAGCGATTTCCGACTCTCTTCAAAGCCTTGTTGAAATCGCGTTAAAAAACACGTATAAGATTGGGTCGAGGAACGACGTGCTGTAACGGAGCATGGTTAAGATTCTCGCCACGTTTTGTGACACCAATTGTTTCTCATCCTCGGAAATGTTGTAATAAATAGTCACGAAGAACCGCCAAAACCAACACAAGACGAACACCAACAGGATTACGAACTGACAGCAGCGCAGACTTCATAACACCTGGAATGCGAGTGTGCACAGAACGCGCGCTCACTCTACCATGTGCCTTCGCAAGAACGCAATATGACCACTGATCTGTAAATGTTAAACTGGATGACGTAACATTATTTGTAGAATGAACAAAATACTTTCAATGTGGTGACTTACGGTTTTTTGATAAAGGCAGCCCAGAATGATCAATTCTTACCCTTTCTTTATCCTTGTTTTGTCTAAAGCCCACAATAGCGAAATCACATCAATATATTATACACATGCAAAGCTATACGATGTTTACCACAAAATCGCTAGATATTTCAAACGATTATTTTATGTGTACATGCGATCCTATTTCCCCGTGACGAAATCATTCGCTGACCTATCACATCGCTGGATTTCGATTTTCGCTTTGCGCGGCGAAAACTAGTTTGCATTGTAGAAAACAAGATGAATTCTCAGCTGTTTCATCGAATGCAAATGATGGACTCATAAAAGTTGCATAACCAAACGTAGGCGTAGCCAGCTTGACTATTCAGCACCGCTATACAGATTTTTAAAGTTATCATAATCATCGCTTCTTTCATAAACATATTGTTTTCACATGCATACAGTCTGTGAACACCAAAATATTGGCATAGCGCGGTACGACAATGCCAGGCTGACTATATATCCCGCCGTATACAAAGGCATGTGTTGTTTTTGACTTTGAGAATATAAAAGGAAACTTGATATCTTATCTGCGGTCTAATTATAAAGCAAAAGAAGTGAATATAAAAAATGCACGTGGATCCATTTAAATTGATGGAGCGAGTTTCAAAACTTCAAAAGTTTAAAAAATTCAAACTTTTATAAATAGCATTCAAATGTTATATGCATAAAATTTTCCGATATGTTGTTTTAAACTTTTAATAATTTACGAATAAGTTGACTAATGCACGTAAACTATCGGGCTACAATAGTTAAGTCAAACTTAGCAGGATGATTTTATAAAACAACCATAAGTCATAACGCATTTAAAACGAAATCAGAAAAGTGAAACTCAGCACTCGGCAGACTGAAACACAAATCATAATTCTTATTAAGAGTAACATTTATTAAACATTCACTTACAATAATCTTGAGTTCATTAAAATATCTTTTTATAAATGCATGTTTCTCACACATTTGCGGCGTTGGTAACCGTTATTTTTTATTTATATATATAATATCCCGTAGAACCATTGTTAAGGTTGAAATTAGCTACCTAACACGCGCGCAAACGATTTGTATGAAAACGGTTGTCTTTTGGTAATTGAACGTCTAAATCTGATTTTATTTAGCAAAACAGTAATTCTTGTCTTCCATAATTAGAGCTGGTTTTTACATGCAACCTACCAGCTTTTTAAAAGCGCCTGAGACACGAATTGTCACTCAAAATGCTTATTTGTAAATATAACCGAAAAATGCCCTAGATTGACTTCTTTTATAGAGTTTTAATAACTTTTTCCTTCACTACCTTGTTTTTTTTTCTGAAAATATCTCCAGTGCGACACTGGAACCCTAAAAGTGCACTTGTTTTGTGCATTAATTGGTAATAACAAACCAATGAATTTGTTATATCTTATCTAGTAGAAATTGTGTTTCTAAAATGTCATTCACGATGTGCAATATTATTTGCTATTATTGCATAGCAAAGTTCTATGAAAGAAAATTTTAAGTAATTCTCAGCGATCTTCACAATGTAAGTACAAACATTTTGAGTGAAATTTCGGGTCGTATATAGGCATATACCAGAATTAAACGCCCAACATCCTCCCATTGATTGGAAGTCACAACTCAGATGTGCCGGTCAGCGGCTATTTGCGCTAAGACCTACAATGTAATACATATTTTTTTGTACACAATCATGTGCAACATTGTTTTTGTATGTTAATACCCGTAGTTTAAATACAATTTATCCACGTATGTAAATACTTAAAACGTATTCCACGAAACAACTTTAAAAATACTCTTTTTATCTAAGATTATAACTCACTTTACACTCTATGACTATCAATATATTACGGCCTTTCGAGAATTCGCATTTGCGCGAATAAAATTTACACTTTTAAATAAATATTTTAAACATGGAAATTTGACCGCAAAATAAAATTTTTGGACGCATGCAAAAAATTGATGCCCCTGGGAAAATAACGAATCTTTTTAGAAGTATTGTGCTATATATAAATGTGCAACTGTCAGTGTGACAAATATTGAGACGAAAATTGATTGACAAATCTGTTTGCCAATCAGAAAATGTCCTAGAGATTGGCGTTTACGCCAAACGCGAATTCACTAACAAACTTTATGTTTTAACTACGCCATCTTAGAGTTTGCAACAACTTGGTTAAATCATAAACGTTTTACATAAAACTCGCAATATTCAGCAGTGAAGAAAGAAAACAACGGCTGTTCCTTCCTCTTACATCGCTACTGAATATCAAGAGTTTAACTGTAGAACGTTCATGATTGAACGAAATTGTTGCAAACTCTAAGATAGCGCAGTTAAAACATGAAGTTTGTCAGTATTTTGACGTTTGGCGTAAACGTCAATCTTCAAGTCTTTAATTTAAAGCTTGGAGTGCACGATTCTGATACATTTGATTAACATTTTGTGCGTATTTATCCATGCGGACAACATTAAGATTACACTTATTTTGTATATTTTCCATAAAAATTAAACAAATGGACAGTTGAGCTACTCAGAGTGCAGTCAACTGGCCAGAATAATTGCGGGCCAACTTTGTAGCGCGTTTATTAACCAGAATGTTGAATAGGAGTTTTACTCAGAATATTGGTACAAAAAATTAACGGAAGGGGTTGGACCATACCGCGTTAACTAAATCGAGGGCGCAGGCGGCCATTTGCCTTGCAAATATAAGGACAATCCACCCACCGGCCAAAATATATCATCACTTAAAGGTTGTCCTTCAAAAAGGGTTAACCTTGAACTCTTAGCGGAAAACAGATGATGGGTGGTAACTTATATCATGACTTGTTCTAGTCCAAAGGTTGCCGGAGAAGAAAGAAGATTTGCTGTTGCAAGTCATCTCTTTTGTCCTAATACCCATCATCCCTTGCGCGCTCACAGTGTTAGGTTCAATGTTTTCGAAGAACAACCTCTATTGAGTTGGCTGTATACGATCTTACACTAACAAAACGCGGCAACGGTAGCATATTTCAACTCAAAGTGGCGCTAATGTTCATTTCATTTGCTGTCAATATTTCTATCTATTCGTTAAACATCACCATTCTTCAGTGACTGACTCCTCGAGCTCGTCATACCCCCCTGAAATCCATTGTTATTGTTATGAAGAGACTCGTGACATTTTAAAAGTTCGTTGAGATATGTTTGAAAGGAGTTTAGAGCAGCATTAAACGCGGGCGTACCAAAGCCGTGCGTTACCAGCCCAAAGTGTGTAAGTCCTTTCAGAACGGATTCTGGCAATGTACTGTTTGATAGACGTGTTGTCGGGTAAGGATCTTGACTCAGTACATCTTGAAGTTCTTTGGTGATTTGTCTAAATAAGAAAAGACTCGATTCAACGTCCAGCAATAGTGTAAATAACATGACGTAAAACATAAAGTAAAACATATCATGAATTACACAAGGAGAAATAATGAAACAATTTTAGAATATATTTCGCTATTGAGGACATTCTTTAACTTTTCAAAACAGAGTCCTTGTGTTTTCACAACACATTTGGCAAATTTTGTACAACATCGCTTCAGATTCAACTACAGGGTGTCTAAAAAAACGCAACCACTTAAATATGCAAGAATATTAATATTGTTGGGGTTTGCACCATAGTTTTAGCATTTTAAATGAAGGATTAAGAGCCATTTTCAATTCCCAGAGGTGCTTATCTATTGCGCTTTAAGTGGTTGCGAGACATCCTGTATTACATATTTACTGGTATATGCAATTCAAACATACTTATTACTGATTCCACTAAGAATAGCTTGTAGTGGTTCAACAATGGTTTCACAATTACGAGGAATTTGTATACGAGAAAATTCTTAGGGAAACACAATGTTCAAATGCTTTATTGAATATATAAACAAAAGAATACTAAATTAAGTTTTTCTTCACTAAAACATGGATATGCAAATATTCTGAAATACTCGTTTTAACATGTTATTGTAGAAGCAAGATTGAAATCCGACAGTCGAAAGTTTCAAGTAATATTTACCAATTTCGAGTGGTCTGAAAGTCCGTAATGATGGTTCAAATATCGATCTAACATTTTCAAATGAATCCGTCGGTCGGTTGAACAAGTTTTTATGCTTTATTTGGGCTGCTGCTCTGAGCTCTCGCTTTGGTGAAATGCACACGTGTTATGGCAACATTACATGCAGCGTTCCTCAACGTTTACGGTGAGTAAAGTTATCTAAATTGCCAACTTTATAATAGATATAATTGTGCATTGCTGGGTTCTATCTGATATTGGTGTTAATGTGCATACCAGTACACGACAATCTATTACAACCGTTTCAACTCAAGACCTCACGGCCATTCGTATGCCGACAGCCCATCCGCAAGAAAAGTTAGATTCTCAAACTTGATAGATTGCCAAACTTCGCAAGTAGTTTATTTAGATAGGTAATCCGTATACACTGACATGCAGATTATGAGACGAACTATTCCAGGTGTTCTCTCTCAGATGGATAGAGGTCCATTTCTTGTGTATATCAAATCAATTCGTGAAATAATTTCATTCGAAAAAGCCGGCCAAATTTTCATCCATTGTTACCGTCTGAATACCAGAACCAGACGAATTTGAACAGGGTTCCAAATTCGTCCGGATTGCAGGAAAATTTATTTACGGCTATCGTTCTGTAAATATGTTGTTTAATAGTTCTCGCCGCAGCAAATTGCTCGGCAAATATGAAAAATAGGCCTCCAAATTTTGAATTCGCGGGCATAAGGACTGGGAGCAAAAATATGGAATACCTGGCCAACCTAACACTCAACAATAAATGCCATATAGAAACTACCTTGTTTTATGTTACTTGATGCATGATTTGGACTTCCACAGGACAAGAATAAACACTATTTTTAAAGAACGGGGCAGTTCTATGCACTAAAATTGATTGTCCATAACAGATTTTTAACATAATGCACTATTCGCCTGGTATTCTATAATTGTATATAATTGTGATATTCTATAAATTACTGCGAAAGGTAAGGACTTACTTGCAAGCCAGTATGGCGTTCTTTCTTGTATCATAATCCGTAGTTTCTTTTTGTGTCTTCGCTACGTGCTCTGATAATGCTTGTGTAGGGAACTCTGATACACACACGTAGTCGAAATCACCCGCTAAATGAGCAGCTTCACCTACAGGTTAAAAATAAAAATTGACGGGTGCGCTTCGATGGGGAGAACGTGGAAATTTCATACAAGTTGCAAGGCAACTATTTTTTTATACGTGCTACTTTGAAGTGGATTCCTAATTCTTACCTTCCACTAACGATGTTAACAACGTCACTTGCGCCGCTTTCCTTCGCCCGGCCGGTAGCGATAAACCAATTTTTTCTAATTTTTCCCGTAGACATTTACCACCATTTTTCGACTTGGCTCTGAAAACAAGCAACGACATATGTGACCCACCTCACTGACACACATCCTAAGCTAAACACTGCGTGCGCGGGATCATTAAACACCCTCCCACTTGTACATTCTCGTTCCCCAGCGATACTCGCCAATCCCTTCATACCCCATCATTTGCAGTGAAAACCAACCACCCCCCTGAGTATATCTCCAGTAAATATATTGAGACACTGTATCGGCGGAAATCTTTTAAAACATACCCTCGCAACGTACCGTCTTAACACCCCTCCCAGTAGGGATGCATTGAGACATTCCGGATGCGAGAGCCTTCGACGTATTTCACCGACAGTCACTTTGTATTTGGACGTGGAACTTAGCAACGATAAGCGGCCTGGGACCGAACAAAATACATCCGAAGGTTGCACAGGCAAACTTGTATCGATGTCCTCTTTACTGTCTTCGTCTTCCAGGCTGTATTTGACTGAAACAAATCGATAGAATCAGTTCTCAATTAGACATGCAGATTTGTGCTATCTTTGCAAAAGGCACTATACGTCACACTTGCGTATTCGGGTTAAAAAATGGGCCTGGTATCAATTGCTTCAAACATTGTTGAACTATGTTGTTGACACATGTTTCCATTAGGACACAATTCTACAAACGTACTTACTATTGAGGTCGAAAGTGGTGAGGGTTTTGTATTGTATGTTAATTTGCGCAAAAGTTATTTATATTTTATCGTGATTCGTGTTAGTGCTTGCATGAGAGATTTTTTATAAATATCTCATTCGCACCTGCTTAATTTGGGATGAAATTGTAGGATGTCATTATTAATCTAATGGTTGTTGTTATATTTGTACATTGGGCTTCGAGATTCGAATCTCGTTATTTCCTGATATGCGATGACGTGAAGATTTAACGACGGTTGACTGTGTCGACAATCTTGCAGGGATTGGGGCGAAACCTATGGGATATTCCACTAGCATTCATTTACCCGCAACTTTATGCCCTGCGTACGCATCACAGTAGGGATGGATTTACTGGAAGGTTGACAGAGCAGCAAAGAGAAGCGTGCGAGTTAGGGTGCAAATTCGGTTATCAGTTGTAAATCTCGAGGATTATGTAGGGATGTTATCAAGATTATAGCTTCTTGTTTGATGATATTAGATAAAACAGGACACAGCTTGTCACTTGCTTTTTCTTAATATAGGCGTCATCCTCAACCCACCCTTGGGAGATGTGTGATATATCTACAATCATGGCCAAAACCATTGACTGCACTCTAATATATTCGGCACGCCTGATCTCTTCAGCTATTAAACGTTAACGTTCTATTACATAATCCCCCCGCCCCTAAATCAATGTTGAGTTTCCGCTTAATTGATTAAATATGTTTTAGGTCACTATCCAACATTGATTGGTGAGGGAAAGGAGGAGAGGGGGTAGAATTTTTTATTTTATTGGAGAAACCGTTTAAAGATGACGAGTGTGAATGACGAGTTAAAAGTGTCGGGGATTGTGGGTGTAGGAAATAGATGTGATAACGTGATGGGGCAAATCTTTGCCCTCAGTCAAAAATGACACATCGATTAAATTTACTCGATCATTCCACTCAAAATACAAAGTCCTCAAAGATATGTGTGTTGTCAAGAAAACTCTCGAAAATTATGTTTCGGGTTAGTCAAAGGGGCACTTCAAACGTCTCTCGTTTGGTATTTCTTGAAATGTATTATTACAGTAATTTAATTAGGTTTATCGCAAGCGCACATGGCTCTTGCAAATTGCTTATCTAAAAGTTCAAAAATAGACGACTTACTATCACGTGAAATTCTTGATGATGGAGGCTCAAGTGACTAAAATTAGAAGAAAAAGACGGTAGTTAATATGATTGATCTGATTAACATAACATGATTACTATTTGATTAAAGTAATCTAACTGTTCTGTCGATTAATCAAGTCGGACAAAAAATTTTCATTTTTATTCTGTAAATTTAAAAAAAATCAAGCCTCACTCAATGCCGCCCACGCTGTGACGTCATTAGCTTCAAATATTTTAGCGTACTGACGTCATTCTTTGGTGTTATCTTAAGTTGAGGGCGTAACACTTGAATATTGGTGATAAAATATTGTCATTTCTGGTAATGATATGTCTTCACGGAACACGAAGATCAAAGTTTAATTACACGGCATATAATTCGACTGTTTCAAATAAGAGTCCAAAACTCGGTGGAATATTTTGCGAAAAAATTTCCATGAACACTTCCCGACTTTGCTAGATTACCCCTATGGTTTGAAAACGAGGCGGGCAATGAAATAACGACGATTATTGTCAGTTGAGTAGGGTAGTTTTAATTGGTAGACAGCAAATGAAGAAGGTGTCTATATAGACATCGAGTTATCCCACAGACACAAGTCACTATGTTATTGATTTCACTGCTGACGTGCAGACTGTCAACTCACTCAAGAATTTTTTCAATGGGTAGCTCTCTCAGTTAAAATTGTCTTTTCAGAATTGAACAGGGGTAACTGGATCACTTAAAGAATTATGCGGCGGTTTTGACTTCTAACTGGATTAGAATTTCTGTAGCAAAAGTGATACAAAGCTCGATATAAAGCAAGCTTCGTACTGCAGTTTCCAAAAGGGAATTGAACGCAAGTGAAGCGAATTCGCAGTTCTTACTGCACATCAAAGCAGCTGTGGATAGTTATATAATTCTGAAAGTGAGATTTGGAAAACGATAAGAAGTTGAAGTATTTACAATCGTTCCTTTGCGTATCACTGCTTAATCACAGTAGATATGTCTGTGGTAGAAGGAGACTTAAGTCGTAACCCATTCGAGTATGGTCAAGAAGAGTTTTCAAGTAATTCGGTAAATTCGTATATTCCAATTATGGAGTTCTAACGCTTTCATTGAAACCGTTGTCCACTTGGAATTTTTTCACTTTTTTGAGCCTAAAGTTCCTTCCCAAGGAAACAAACCAAAAGCCAGTGAAAACCGTCTTGCATGTTTACAAAAATTTTGTATTTTCGGAATGGTAGATGAGGTCTATGTGGTCAAGGTCAATCAAAGAGTATACTAGTTCCCGACCGATAGCAGTGAAACGAAGCGATAAAAAATCGAGTACATGAACAAAAAACCGCAGAGTTCAATGCAGCGCAATTCATACAGATTATATGATAGGATCCACAAATAGGTGATACACGACTGACTCTGCATGTTATGTGTTTACTGAATGTGGGCTGCCATACGCTCTATCTTCCTTGGAAATTTTGGATTTGAATAGGAGTTTGCTGAGTACAACGACAGCAAGAATGTGCTCGTCAACAACAGCCAAAAATGAAGAAAAACGTAAATGAAATGGTCTTTAGTATGATACAATTACGTAGTTACTGCAATTGCTTCGTGACCTTCATCACGATGAAAGTTGGGTGGCAGTTCACTCGATTGATGTTACATTTAGGGTGTTTAAGAGGCAAATTAAGTGCATTGACGTATATTTCAGCTCGAATGCACCGTAATAGATCAATAAATCATATTCTACCGTTGTCATTGCCGTTGATAGTCTCCAACTGACCCTCTAATATGTGCAAATTTACGAGCAGACAAGCAGTTAAACGACAACTTCGTTGATAGAGGGCTTTAGCAATGATTACGAGTGCGAAATTCGTGCGTTTTCGCGCGAAACTCGGTGCTGTTTGCTCACGCCATCTGGCGAATCACGTAGTCATCGGGCTTTCGACTGTAAAATTGATCTATTTCGTACAAGGGACGAAACGTACTGGAGACAAAACACGTTTCGTCAGATGGCGTAAGCAAACAGCACCAAATTTAGGGCGAAAATGAATGAATTTCGTACTCGAAGTCACTGCTAAAGCTCCCTAAAAATTCGATAGATGATAGCTTAAGTACGAACTTGCAACGATTTAACTCACCTGAGGTGTGCTTTGTCCACTTAGTTGCGTAGGCGGTAATATATCCATGGGTTCGTTACTTAATCGAATCGGATCATGGCGTCGCGAGTGGGGCCCGTAATGTCCATTTACTAATTCAGGACTAAACTGACTCACCGTGGAGTCCAGACGTTGTAATTGATCTCGTTGTCTTATAAGTCTATGATTAGTGTTCGAGCTCGGCTGCTGATGTGTTGGATGCTGCTGTTGTGGATGGAACGCCGACGCAGTTTGCCCAAACGGCGTTGATTGTTGAAAGTGATCTATCGAATGCGTAAAGTCGAAGCGTTGAGGCGGTTGTTGGTAGTGAAGCGGAGGGAACTGTGGCGGATAATACGGACTGGTGTGTGGTGGAAGTTGTCCCGCGAGGATATCTCGCAAGTCGTGGCCTTGCGGATGCTGTAGAGTAAGTCCCGAAGTGGTGACACTGGAGCAGGCGTTGAGTGGAGTGGAGACTGGATTCACGCTTGTTGTCGTGCTTGCGCAAGGCATAGCGGGAAGGCTACGTTCCTGGATAAACAAAAATAATCATTTAAACCAAATTTTTTCAGCAAATTAAACGCAATAATTTATTTTCCGTGTCCAAATAGGTCCACGGTGCTGTATGGAAAAAGGTCATGGGATTCGGAGCAAATACAAGCTGAAACTAGCTGGAACTTGAAGATGCAAATGAAAGGTAGATTGAAAGAGAAAGGTAAATTGAGCATAGCAATGTTCGCTCTCTTCCTTTTGTTGTTTTTACTTTTGTCTTGGTGTTTGTCTAAACACCACGTCGTAACCAAGCTATATAGAGTGAACTAGCCTGCAATGTCAGAGGTGATTAAACTGAAAAGGTTTTTCAATTTGTTAATTCGAAAGCAGCCTTTGAAATCTTCCATGAAATTATCAAAAATTGTTAGGGCAATGTCAAAGCAAACCGGAAACGTTGCAAAATAATGCAATTCAGCTCTTCCTATATAGTTAAACGCCAAGTCAGGCAATTAATGCAATGGAATTTACAATTCCGTGCAGTAATATTTTCACTGTTATTTAAAAGATAGTTATATGTTTTTTCCAATAACCAGACGGCAAGACACTGAGTTTGTTTCTCTACCATCAAAATAATCTAATTTAGATATTTTATATGTATATATAGGTATTTATATATATTTTAGATAAATCTTAACCTATCTGTAATGCGCATGTGAGCATATTTGAATGGAACTTGCGCACTATAAATTAAATTATTATTATTATTATTAAAACAAAGTAGACCCTTGCGAAATATTGACCGCTATATATCTCGATAGTATCGCGGGCTCGCTGTTAGGAATAAGATTGCAGAACCTGATTTAGCGTTACACGCAATCAGCAAAACCGCCTTGACGTGGCATCTTTGCATGGCTTGTGGAAACTCTGGGGTCGAAAATGACCAGTTATGCCCCATGTACTTCGTGTTTTTTGTCTGTCAACAAGATATTTGCTACTTACAAGTGTTTTAACTGTCTCAACATGACGTAGTTGAGCTGACGATGTAAGAATTACCGATGTGTAAATAACTGATGTATATATAGTCTTATATAGAATCAACGGATATATAATTTTTAATTGGGAGAAAAAAAAATAGTTGAATATGCATTTCAAACTTCGCATCGAAGACAAGACAAATAAACTCAGTTTGAAAAATTTATACGATATTCATTAGTTCTTAACTAAAAATTTACCCAAAGGACATAGAACAGAGTGATGCATCAGCTTAGAGTAAAAAAAAAGGGGGATTTAACCGAAATGGCAATGTAGGAAGTAAGATTTGATTCTTAAATTTAAAAAATGCAGCGAGACCAGGTTAATGCACCAGTCACATGCACGCACACAGCCGAGTCGCCGTTGTGTATCCCACAATAGCGTGCCCTTGAAAATTAAAATCACGTTCATATGATTCTATCCTTTTCATGTTTCAAACTATAAAATTTCTAACTGTTGGACGATGCCCATTGCTATTTAACAGGAATATCATTTGTAAAACTATGTGCATTTTGTATAATCTCTAAAAAAAATAGAGTATTATCATTTGGTCTTTGTCTTAAGTAGCCTAAGCAATCATGGGTGACTTCGCACGTAGGAACATTTATAAACTGTCAGAACAAGATTTGCTTTAAATTACCATTTATGCTTTCGCACATATCATTTCATACTTAGTTCAAGCAACTGTGTATATATATATATACTACATTAAGGCCCGTTTACACTTTGAAAGATATGCACGAGTGAATTAATTACGGATGTTCAAATTGTAGCTTGTTCACTTCAAAGCATTCGTAACTAATCAGTCGTTCACATCTATCAAAAGAAGAAAATCGCAGCAAAATAAAATCGCAGCAAATAAAATCGCAGCAAAAATTGCAAACCAGCCTTAAGTTAAGTGTATACCGGCCTTAACCTGTACAAGAACTATCTTTTGTAAAATGTAGCACTCCTAATTATATCCTTCTAGATCCAATTTATTCCTTTTGGGATTAGATCAATCAATAGATTATGCGTGTGTATTGTTCTGCGTATCTTTGCTATAGATCTGTGCATCCATTAACCTACACGACTACACGCTATTATATTTTTAATGTGATAAATAACCGTATGATAAATTCAAAGCGGTTTTACACTCTTATAAACTCGATAAATATGACCTGCGATTATTTTCAAGGTAGCCACGATTAATCCGGAAGATTTTCAACATATATATGTCATGTGACTATATATATATAAATACAGCTATAAATATATAATGTATATATGATTTATGTATACACTATTAACTCCAACATATATAATCTCTATTCAAATGTGTAATGCCATGCATGCATTTCAAAACGGAAATGATACAATTATGGAAACCAATACGTGGCCTTGCAGTTGTATTGAGGAATGCAAATGTTTAAATATAGAAAGTGTTTTACCACGAAAATGATAAATTGCTTTCGAATGAATAAAGCTTTATCACGCATAGACAATGGTTTGTATCAGATTGCTGAAAAATAAAACACTATCGACTGCAACTTTTTACATTTGCCGTAATTTCCCCCCTTGATCTCACCTCGAATAGGGCTTGCGTGTTGTCAAGTTTGTTTATCAACTCTGGACTTGTTGTAGTTGTTGAAAGTGATATCGGAGTTGGTGGCGGACTCAGGTCTTCTGGCGAGATGTGTTGTGCTTTTGCTACGGTGTCTGAATGAAGTCCGTCAAATTGACTTGGAACATTCAATGTGTCCAGTTCGCTGGCCATGGTTCAGTATAGACGCCTGTGGACTGTCTTGAAGTTCTTCAGTTGCGAATACTGGTTCCCTGCTGTACCTTCGAGGTACGACCTAAGGTCGTCTGGGAAAGGCTGCTAGTCGCCTCAGGGTATCTTTGCGAATAGGACATGCACCTAACATCTACAGCCAGCCTTGAGCGTTATGGCGGAATGCAATGTCTGCTTTTACCTTGTTGGGGCTTGTGTCAGAACATAGGTCAAGCGGATCGGATTACACAGGACTCTTGCAAATCAGCATAAACTTCAATGGCGGTCCAAGACATCTATTCATTAATATCTTGTTGTCACCTTTTAAACACCCTGATTATTTGCAAATGGCTTAAAAACACACATCGGTGTAAACGAAATAGCAGGCTGGCACCAATTGGTTGAATGGCTTCCAACTTTTAACCAATCAAATTCGCCGTCTCAGGATCCCCGTCAAATGGTTTGTTTGAATAAATCGTCGCAGACTTTGATACACGAATGCACACAACAATAAAGAGTTTCAGTTGGAACCAATTTGAATTTTGAAAAGCTTTCTAAATCTGTTTTACTTTTCACGGCGCGTGCCTTGTATAGCATGAGAAACGATGTTTTAAATCACATTTAAAGCGTTTCAAGCGCGAATCTTCGTGTAGGTGTTTATTTTGGCAATACTCGGGTGGCATTTCCTGTGCGGATAATTAAAACAACCTGACACAGCAAAGCACAACTCACTCAAACGAATCGTCTATGTACACGAAAACTACACATGTTTACAAACATCGACTATATATTTGTCTCTGTGTATATTTGTTATAGATAAACTTAAAGCCGACAGAAAGCTTCGTTGCATATATGCTTTAAAAATGCGGTTGTGGTTAGGTGAGATTATGCTGCCCATAAAGTTAAGTTTTTTGCGGTCTTTGCATGTATTGAGATATAAAACGGAAATATATATATTTAGTTTAATACCCTAACAGGAATATTCCATTGGAGCTAATCGAATCAAACGCCCCCGAAATCTTGTGTAAACATCCATTTTAAGTAAACGCTGCATGCATGTCGGCAGCTACCTTGTTATTCAATAAAATCCGACCCAATATATACAATCCGTTCATTTCTTGTTTTTCCTGATTGTGAGAGAGGCAAAATGTCTGATTGAATGCGCTGATCACTATACACAGAACTGGACTATCGAATCATTAACATAAAGAGCACAAGCGGCTGGTTGTATAAAAATGTGGTTAACATTTAATCCACCCAAGTTGTTAACAGGATTTGCCAATCAGAACCGTGTATTTTCGAGTTTACCATAGATTTGATTAATTAACCAATGTAGCGAGGATAACTTTAAAATGTAACTTTTTTAAATGTAGCGAAGCTTGCTTATAGCGAGTTTTAATTCAGGCTACCATTTATTCAGATAACGAGATATATTGTTGTGTATATGTTGTTCCAATGATCATCCTGGCACGTTTTGCGGCTATTTATTTATCAAAAAAAACTCTATCAAAACCGTAAGCTAGGTAAATATGATATATTTAAAAAATTTACATGTCCTAAAAGGGAAGGTAGGAACTGTAAGCCCGTTGCTAGACACCTCGACCCAACATAGTAAATTCTCCCTGCATTTTCCTAGAAGTGCAATAAATCGATGCCGCAAAAGCATCGCCCCATATTGCACGCTGGATACAAACAAAACCCCGCATGGTATCCTACAAGGACAATCGATTTAGCATAATATAAAACCTTCCGGTCGGCATAGCTCACATGGAATTATATTTGCAAGTCTTAATCTTTAGCGGTATTGCACATATTGCACGTGTTTGCAAGGTCAGTCGACATTTCCTTTTTCTTAGAAAAAACGTGTATTGTGTAATAGCCTGAAGGCCGGCAGGAAGACTGTTCCTCTTGGTGCAAACCGGTAAATTAAGATCAATATTGTGCCAATTCCAGCAGTGATCGTAATGTATGTTTTCGAATGGCCACCATTTTGTTGACATGTTTATTGGTAATTGCTTGAACGGCTTATGTAACTAATAAAGAAAGGTTTATTCTTTAGCTGCCGCACCCTAGCGAGATTGGTTCTCAGGGAGTCGCAAGGTCATGCATTCGATGTAATATTTGGGCGGTTTTCTTTCACAATTAACCAAATGTGCATAATTTTCTAAATGCAAATACGACGGCATATGCTCGACGGTCATAATTGTGATGGGCTAAAATAGGTTTACAGCGACGAGTGACGTATGCTGTTTATTAACACGCCGCGAGTAACCCCACGTGCTGTAAGGCCATGTGCACGGATCGTTATTATAAGTGTCTACTCTTCCTTTATCGTATACAAGCTAGCATGCGAACACAGGACCGCAAGCTTTCGTATAGTGGCTTGTGTCAATCGCGTTCGCTTGACGTACCAACTTCTCACCCCAGAATACCAACATGGGGAGCATATGTAACAAACAATGATGGCGGAAATGAAAATTAATCAAAACACGTGCATTGCCAAAGTCGTTTTTTTCAAAGATACATTGTGTGATTACATGTGTGGCACTGTGGCTATATATACTTGTCGAATAAAAATAGAACGTTGGCTTTTTAAGATAATAACGCTTTTACACGAATCGAAAGTTATCATCTTTCTCTTAAAAAGTCTCTTCAGCTAATCTAAATATGATCGTCCTTTCTAAACCATAAGCCTTTTAAGCGCGCAAGGGCTCATGGGTTGTAGGCCCTCGCGGGGGTCTTACGTGCTTTTAAAGCTAGTTAGGTTTCGAAGTTCCGCGTGTATATCAACCATTCTCGCGATAATATTCCGACATTTAGGGACCTGTTTACATGGAGCGAGTTATCCCGGCTAGGCGAGGAAGAAACTGCATATAATGAAAGACTAATCAGGTTAAGCCTTTGATGTGCCTTTTACCTCGCCTGGACGGGATAACTCGCTCCATGTAAAAAGGCCCTTAGAATGGGACAATGTGCCTTTTGATGTTGTTTTGCCCTAAGGCGCAAGTGGCCGCGCGCATCGTAGTTACAAATGAGTCTTCGAATTAACAGAAGGAATTATAACTGCTGGTAGAGATTATTATGAGCACGAGTTTACCAGGATGGATTATAGCATCGCATACGTTAATATAGAAGTGGCACACTTAGTTTTCTGATTCAGTCCGGTATATATAACGGAAACTTACGTGCTGCTGCAGTTATCTGTGGAATTCTAAGTGCGTGGTCTCTGAGAAATATTGCTAAGTGCAACCAGGGTGACCGATATTTATGGGCCAATTTCCAGCGCGTTCTAGACACATTTGATATTCGCTTCTCGTCATGAAAACCAACTCGGTGAGATAGAATATAGTGCTTCGTAAAGCGCTTCGACCCGCCTCGGTTGTTTACACTGCATTGCTTTTCAGACGTCCCTTGTGAAACGCCTCAGGCGGTGTAAGACAGACGTTTAATACGAATTTTCTGTCCGTTTATAGTTTACGTAATATATTCATATAGATAAAACCCAATATTGCTATATTCACTGGGGAATTTTTTATCAGTAAGCAGGCTTCCTGAGGATTTTATTCGCTTTTTTACTCGCTCAATCGTGGGCACATAAAAATACCATATTTCACATTGTAACATCATCGACTATTGTGAAGAGTTGTACGATACTCGAAGACCGACAAACTATTAAACATAATCTGCATATAGCTAATGATCGCATGCAATCTAATTTTGTTATTAATTAAGTAAAAGTATGCAGGCCTTGCAAGAGTCTTTTATTTCTCTTTGAGATTTCATTTTCTGCCTTGTTTAAAATTAGAACCAAGTATGTAACTATCCAAATGCCATATATTTGTGTGGGGTAGAACTCTTTGGATCGTAAAAACATTATTCTTTAAAAAGATAGCTATTAAAAACTATTCAAAATTGTAAATTGTAAACCGTAAATATTTCCTGCCTATACGTGTAAAATAGTTCTCTTCCCTTTCTTTTTAAAATGGAAAACCAACCATGAATTGAACATGAACAATGTTCTTCATAGACTATAGCCGGATAAAGATATTCGTGGTGGCGTTATAAATAGTCTGTGCAAGACTTTACACTTTCGTATGCTCTTGATATATATAACAATTGACAGATTATCAAGGTAGGTTTCTCCCTGGAGGCATTTTAAGCAAGTGAGTGCTTTGTTTGGACATTACAAGTAGATTGTGTTCTATAATTGGCCAATTACCTTTTGATTTAATTACTCTTTTTGAATAGACTGACGTGAAAGGAAATATACTTTGATAAAAATTCTTCGTTGTTTAATAAGATATTAGTAAAAGGCCTAACTATCCTCGCTCTCATTTTGTATGTAATACACAGGCGATGTTCGTCAAGATTGTAATAACAAGATCGCAGATCAAGATAGTGTATTATAACCAAGAGCATCGATCCCTTTAGTTCACAGATGTGATTTCATTTTCCTATGCATATATCCAAGAGCATATATATACTGTTTCATGTCAAACTGATAAACAGTATGTGTCCCAGTTCTATTCTACGGTTGATACTGAAGTATTTCACAAGAATTTAATTACAAACTCATGTAGAATATAATTAAGAAAACTGGCCAACGATGAAATGTTAGAATATACTTTAACTTTTGAATGTTACTATGCGAAATTTCATTGCCATATCGTGTTCCAATTTCAAGTTTTACGAGTATGTAAATGATAGATTTCCTGATCCCAGTACAGCTGGGGGTTCACAGGTATAAATAAAATGAAGACAAAGAATACTTTTGCCTATTTATAAAAAATATATTTAAACCTGCATGGCTTCCATAAGTATTGGACACGCTTTCCTCTTCAAAACCTTCAGTGAATACATGGGAAAATTTCCTTCACGGTCGATTATGATTCTGCATGTCTATCGCCTTAAGTCATTCTTGGCCTTACACATTTTTGCATTTACTCAGTCGTAACTATCCGTCGAAGATTCTTTATTCATATAACTGAGTGTAAAATTAGTAGGTGAGGATATATTTTTCCCCGGTCTTCAAAGGTGTTTCTTCCTGTGCCAAAAAACCTAATTATACATTTGACAAAGATTTTCTCAGTTTTCTAATATATATAGTTTCCTATATTTAAAATATCTCTTTTTAAACCCTCAATCTTATCATAGATTGCTGCGTTCAAACACTTTTATCTGGGACAATAAAATCTCGTGTCTTTATCAATAGGATAATTTTCCCCTAAGGGTACGCGGCAAGATACTATGGGCTGCCACCACACATGGAAAATTGTATTGGTTTCCCATAAAAAAATAATGATGATAACTGATTTTTTAGGACTACTGAAAGATCTTTTAATATAAAAACCGATGTAAATTAAAAGAAGCTTGTTACTACCACATTTTTTCTATTATTTTTCCTGAAGGGTGAATTCAATGTGTGTATATGTATTAATATACACCTTCATGATATAGCTAAATGTGTATATCATTCTTTGTCTTCGTGTTTTTGCGTGAGAAAAATTACCATTGCTTCTCCCCCATTGTATAGTCAATCTGGGTTATAGTTTCATGGATAATACGTTAATTTTTTATTCGTTATATATGTGTTATTAATTCTAAACGAACATCACTTTGTCGATTTTTTACCTTTGTTACCCCTTTTACTGCATGCTTGTGCATGTTCGTCAATTATATTAATACATATACGCGTGGGGGTAATTATCTTCACAGCACTGCGAGTTAAGCAATAGAATATATTTCAGATATTTTA